CACGGATGCCACGGAGCACATCCTGCCTCTGGAAAACAGCTCCCCGGGGCGCACGGGGCAGCAGCATCCCGGCAATTCCTCTCTTCTGGCCCGATCAGTGCTCTGCTTGCTGCTGGAGATCAGCGAAGGCTTCCCAGGGCGTGCGGCGGCCACAAGTCAGGGGCTCCATCAATAGCAGCAGGGCAGGACGGGCACCTCGGGAGCCTTGAGCGACAGCAGCAGGCTGGAAAAACTGATGCTGCGCACCGGGCTCGCCTGTAAACAGGCTGGGGTGGAAAAACAGAGGCTGAGCTGGAAATAAAGAGGCTGAGGAACCGCATCTGGGGATGGAGCCACGCACCCAGGCGCCACGCGGGGATTCGGGTGCCCAGGTCGCTGCCCCGGCTCGGTGCAGGATGCCCGGGGGGCTCGGCAGCCACAGCAGCTGCTGCTGGCCCCGCGGCCTCGCCGCATTACAGCGGAGGCCAAGCGTGGCGCTGCGCAGGTGACCGGAATGGTTAAACATCTTCCTGCCCAGCCCTCGGCGCCCGTCTCCGCTTCTTCTCCGCCTTCCTCCGCTGTTATTTATGCTCGCGGCGCCGAGCCTCGCCTGGGGAAGGGCTCCTGGCACCAAGGATGCTCGAATCCAACCCGAACCGGCCTTTCTGTGCATGGCTCTCCTCTGCCCTTCCACACCAGAGCACGGCGAGAGGCTGGGACAGCACCGGGAGCTCGTCCCCAGCAGGATGGAGCCCCAGTTTTGCGCCAGACTGGGAGAGAACTGGACCAGATGGTTCAAGCTGAGCTGCCCCAGTAATCCGGGCAGGATTGGGTCCATCTGCCTGCGTGGGTGTCACCGCGCTGGCATCGCCTCCAAAGGCCCACCGAGGCACCGAGGGCACGACTCAATCTGTGCCCTGCTGGGGCTGGGTACGGGGGAACCACGGCACCCGCCTGCACGGGGGGCACGGCGCTTCCCCAGGGGTGTCTGCATGAGCAGATCGGGCTCTACAGCAGCAAACACCAGGAGAAAAAGCCCGGTGGCACCCAAACGGAGCCCACCAAGCGCCAAGACCACCGCCACGCCACCTTGGGCACGCGCTCGGGTCCCGCAGCCCCCTCCTCGCTCAGGCTGCTGCTCCCCTGGCGAGTCCCCGAATGGCACCTTGGCTCGGGGTAAAACTAGGTTAAAACCGACCTAGTGAAAACAAACAAAAATGTTCGCTTTCCTGCAGATTCCTCCATCTGGCGGCGTGCCGGGCCGTGCCAGCTCTGGGGTGAGCACCCAGATGTAGCCGCCCCCGGTCCCTCCGGCAGCTCCGGGGAGGTACAGAAGCAGAGCAGGGGGAGGCAGCAGCTTGAAGGCAGGGGACCACACATTGGGGGGGGTCCTCGACAAGCCCTCCATCCCCTTCCAAAGGGGGGCCTGGGTTTGGGATCTTGCTTGGGCAGCAGCACCCTGGGGCTCTCGGGATGCTTCTCCAACCCTACACAAACACCCCCCAGCTCTGTGCCAAACCTGAGGAATCATTGGGATCAGTTCCCACCCCCGCCAGCACGTCCCCTCGCTGTCTGGGTATGTCCAGGGCGGCTCTGCGGGATTTATCCCAGGCATTGTCTTCAAATCCAACCCGGGCTGAGCCGGCCGCGCCGTGCCAGGGTGCTGAGCAGCGGCTTTTCCGCCCCAGCTGCCCTCCGCTCGGATGCTCCGTTTCGGCCGCTTTCACTGATCCCTGGCCACGGTGCCAAAGCTGCTCGCCTTCCCCCAGCAGGCAGCTGATGGAAACCCCCCAAAAAAGGGCTGTAGGGGTCACACTCGACCCCCTCGTGCTGTGCCCGCTGAGGCCTCATGCTGGGAGCAGACGGGGAGCCCTGGTGGCACTGCACATGGGGTGGGTACGGGCACGGCCCCACGCAGCAAAAAAAGGGGATTACGTTATCCTCTGACAGCTCCTGGGGGATGCAGAGCTCTTGGCAGCCACCTTGGGGACAGGAGCCAGCCCCCAGCCACCCCCTTGCCCCCCTGTGCCACTGGGGGTCCCACGCAGGGCCCCACTGCTGGAGGTGCCATTTGGGGTCCCACCTCCGTGCCCAGCGTCCCCCTGACACCTCCAGGAGCTCTCCTGTGAGCTGGGGAAGGGCGAGCGGTGTCCACGTCCCCAAAACTCCCCCGAGGTGACCCACGGCCACCCCCCAGCCACAAAATGCTGCTCCTAGATGAGCAGGGGGTGGCATCTTCCACGCAGAGAGCTCCTCCAGCGTGCCCTGGCCAAGCAGACGTCTCCAGAAGGACGGTGCCACCCTTCCCATGGGGACAGCACCCCAAAGCCCCCCAAACCCTAAATACCGAGGGGTTTCTAGTGGTAGGGAATGGGCTCAGGACAAGTGGAGCGGCTCTGGAAGGGGACGAGGGACATGCGCCCTGCCCCGTGCTGCGCCCCACGGCCCAGCTGTCCTCGTGCCACCCACGGTCGGGTGCCAAGAGCGAGGGGGCGCCGAGAAAAACAGCCCCGGGGAGCCCGGTTTTGGCACGCTGAGGCTCCCCCCGGGGAGCAGAGCCGCTCAAACAAAAGGCTCCCACAGCTCCGGAGAGCGGAATAACATGGGGGGGGACACACGAGGGGGGGGGCATCCTCACGGCGCAGCCGACCACGCAAGGCAGCCCAAACACTGAGCAATGTGCCGACGGCAGCACGGCTCCGGCCAAGCCCACGACTGCCGCCAGGCAGTGCCAGCACCGCCACGGCCCCAAAAATCCCCCTCCTGCCCCCAAAAATACAAGGGGAGGTGCGAGGCTGCGGCGGCTCCTCCAGCACCTTCCAGTTTGGCTCACTGGGGTCCCCCTGGGGCTTTCCATGGTGGCTGCTGGGGAGCCCGGGGACAAATCCTGCAGCATCACCGCGCCCTCGGACGAGCAGCTCAGGACCACAAACGCCAGCACTGCCCCCCCCCCCAGTGGGGCTCTTGCTCAGCCCCCCCACGGCCACCCCCGGCCCCAAATCCCCAAAATCCTCAAGGTTTGGGTTCCTACAGGAGCCCGGGGGGCCACAACCTGCAGGAAAACACAGCCACGAACCCCCCCCCCCCCCCCAGGGTGATGCTGTGTGACAGCCACCTCCTCCAAACCATGGGGGGGGGTCTGCTGTCTGCAGGGTGCAGGTGCCCCCCCCCAGGGGACCCCCTCCCCTAAAAGCCACCTCCCCAAACAGCACCGAGCATCTCCAGACACAACCAGGGGGCTGCTGGGGCATTCAGCTCCGCTCAGCGACGGGAAAAAAAAAAAAATCCCAAAAAAACCCAAAGCGCAGCCATTTATGTGCCACCCCCCCCCCCCTTTATTTCTTCCCCCCCCCGCCCCCCCAAGTGATATTTGCTTTGCGGCACTTCATTAAAGGGCGCCCGGCCACGCAGCGCGGCGCGGGTAAACACCCTTTGTCTGGAGGGCTCGGGGGAGCTGCGTGCCCCCGCAGAGCAAACACGCCGCGGATTTATGGGATGCTCGGGGATTTATGGGATGCTCGGATGCCATCAGACGCCCGCGCCAGGGCTGTGCCCAGCTGCGTCCCCCCCCCTGCATCGCCCAGACCCCCCCACCACAGGGCGAGGCAGGGCGGTGCTGAGCCTCCAAATGGGTGCTCCTTTCCCCAAAATGGGGGATTTAGGATTTTTTTTATTTTTTTTTCTGGGGGGCTTCAAATCTAGGGGGGCTGCCCCACCCCATAAGGGTGTCATCGTTACCCCCCCCCCCCCCTCGGAGGATGTCACCATCACCGTGCCCATCTCATGGGGGTGTCACCATCAACCCCCCCCCACAATAAATCCTTGGACGATGTCACCAACGCCCCCCCCATATCTCAGATTGTCACCATCCCCCTGTCCCCCCCCCCCCCCCCCCAAGGACTGTCACCATCCCCCCCCCCCGAGGATGTCACCAGCACCCTGCCCACCCCACAGGGCGGTCACCAGCGCCCTCCCCCCCACCAAAAACCCGCCGATGTCACCGCCGCCCTGCCCATCCCTGGGGGGACGCCACCATCGCCCCCCTCCCAGCCCCAAAAAAACGTCACCCCCCCCCCGGCAGGGCTGTCATCCCACGGGGGTGCCACCACCGTGTGTCCCCCACCCCATAGGGGTCCTTCCCCATTGGGGGGGGTCTGCCCCTAATCCCCATGGGGCTGTCACCACCGTGCACCCCCCCCAATCCACGGGGGGGGCACCACCATGCACATCCCCACCCCATGGGGGTGCCACCACCGTGTCCCCCCACCCCACAGGTGCCTGACCCCAAAACGTTGGGGCTGCCCCCCCCCCATGGGGGTCTGCCCCCCCCCCCAATGCCAATCTGCCCCCCCTCCCCCAGTGCTCAGCCCCCCGCCATCCCCCCACGGCTCAGTGGGGAGGGGTTGGGGGGGGGATAAATTTCAGTCGTGCCCCCCCCGGAGGTGTCGTGTCCCCCCCCCAAAAAAAAAAACGGGCTCCGCCGCCCGCCGGGGCCTGTCTGGAACCTTCCGCCGCCCCAGCCCCGCCCCGGGCGGGGACGGAGACCGGGGGGGGGGGCACACACCGGAGGGGGGGGGGTGATTTGGGGGGGGGGGCTCAAGGTCACGGAGCCGCCGGTGCCCCCCCCCCCCCCCTCCTCCTCCTCCTCCTCCTCCTCCTCCTCCTCCTCCCGGGGCCGCTGCTCCCGGTTCCGTTCTCCCGGGGCGGACCCCGAGGGCAGGGCCGGGGCGGGGCGGCGGGGGCGGGTCCGGGGTGGGGCGGCACCTGCCGGGCCCCGCCGTGCCTGACCCACATAACGGCGGGGAGCCCGGGACCCCCCCCCCGTTAAACCCGGCACCCCCCCCATTAAACCCCCGTTAAACCCCGTTATCCCCTTTAGGATGCGGAGGGGAAGGAGGGGACCCCCTGTAACCCCCCCCATCCGTTACCCCCCCCCCAATCCGTTACCCCCCCCTCCGTGTGTGCCCCCCCCCCACCTTTCCGTTAACCACCCCCCCCCCCCGGTACCGGCAGCCGCTCACCGTCCCGGGAGAGATTCCCCTTGGCGGCCCCGAGGAGCAGCAGCAGGAGGCTGAGCACGGAGGGCGGCATGGTGCTGAGCACCGGTGGGGGGGGGGGGCGGCCCCGGGGGGGGGTGAAGGGGGTAAGGGGAGGGGGGAGCGGCGGCGGCGGTGGCTCCGTTCCCGTCGCCGCTCTCCCGGTCTGGAGCCGGCGGTGCGGCAGCGGCGGGGATTAAATAGAGCGCGAGGGAGAGACCATTCGCAACGCGCCGGCGGGGGGGGGCACACGGGGGGGGGGCAGCGCCGGTGCCGCCCCCGTCTGTGCCCGGGTAAACAGTGCCCGCGCCGGCTGCCCCCCCCCCAAAGCTAACAGCCCCCCCCTCCCCCAGCCTTAGGGTGTTGTGGTGCGGTCCGTGCTGGGGGGGGGGGGGGCACACACACACACTGGGGGGGGGGGGGGGGGCTCGCACTGATGGGGAGGGGTTTTGGGGGGGGTTTGGGGTGGGGGGGTGCTGGCATCGGTTCCTGGTATGGATTGGGGGGGGGGTTATGGTATGGGGGAGGCTTCGATCTGAGGGGGTCCAGGGGCTGGGGGGGGGTGGGGCTGGGGGGTTGAGGGGGTCCTGAGGGGGTCCTGGGTTGAGGGATCTGGGGGTGGGGGGTCCCAGGCTGAGGGGTCCAGGGGCTGGGGGGTTCCTGGGCTGCAGCGTCTGGGGCTGGGGGGGTCCCAGGCTGAGGGGTCCAGGGGCTAGGGGGGTCCTGGGCTACTGGGGCAGGGGGGGTCCTGGGGCTGGGGGGGTCCCAGGCTGAGGGGTCCAGGGGCTGGGGGGTTCCTGGGCTGCAGGGGCTGGGGCTGGGGGGGTCCCAGGCTGAGGGATCTGGGGCTGAGGGGTCCTGGGCTGGGGGGGTTCAGGGCTGAGGCATCCAGAGCTGGGGGGGTCCCAGTCCCAGTTTGAGGGGGTCCTGGGTCAATAGGGGGGATGTGGGCTCCTGCCTGGGGTGGGGGGATCTGGTCTGAGGGGTCCCGGTCCCAGTCTGAGGGGGTCCCTGTTAGGGGGGATCCCGGCCCTCCTGGTGCTGTGGGGTCCCCCCAGAGCTCCTGGGGCCGGTCACAGCCCACGGCTGCCCCCATGGGACCCACAGCACCCAGGCCTGAGGGGTCCCCAGGGCGATGGCTCTGGGGGGGGTGGCTGTGGGGCTGGTGACCCCCAAGGGGGACGTGCAGCCGTCACTGAGCTTTTCTCTGGGAATCTTGTTAAATATGTCAGCTTTGGGGTGGAGAAAGCTCTTCTGCTCCCTCTTGGGGCATTTGGGGGGGACGTGGTGGAGCCCCGAGGCCGAGCAAGGGGCCGGGAGGACGGCAGCCGGGGGTGAGCCGTGCCCCGTGCCCACCTCAGGACCCCAGGGCTGGGGATTTCTGCTCAGCCTCTGTGGTACCCCAATACCAGCCCAGGGTCGGACTTGTGGCTCATTCACATTTGGGGTGAAATCCGCGTTTGTGCCACCCCGTGGCTGCCAGGCCCTAAAAGCCAGCGCTTCGCCCTTGCCATCCCGTGGCATCTCCCAGGCAACTCCTTTTATCCGCCGTTACCCATCCGTGGTATCACCCCTTAGGGGATAACACCCGGTGCCAGCCCCGTTTCCAGCTCCGATTCCCTCCGGCAGTCCTGGAGGAGAAATTAACCCTTTTTTTTTTTTCACAGCCAGTCCAAAGGGAACTGAATAAAACCCATGCCACCCGTCAGCATAAACCCGGCGTCACGTGCCTGTGTGCCGAGCTTCTCCACACCCCGATGCTCTCCTGCACGAACGCTGTGCAGGAGGGACGGCTCCGTTAGTCATAATCTCCGTGGGAAGGGGCTGTGGGAGGAACAGCTTTCTGGTGGTCAGAGCATCAATTTTCACCCCGCGCCTGGATGCGGTCCTCCTGGAGGCGATGCTGCCCGCGGTGCGGCGGTGTCCGGCTGGGATTTCGGTGCTCAGGGTGCAGGGCTGTAACCCCCGGGGCAGATTTTGGGGGCAGCGTGGGCGAGCGAGGCTGTGGGAGCCTCTCTTCAGGTCGTTAGCTGGAGCGGGGCTGCCTTTGGAAAGCGGTTTTGGCGAGCTGGGGAGCTGGGAGAGCTGGGAGGACCCCCAGGAGCAGAGCGAACGCAAGCACTGCTCCTCTCCGAGGCACGAGGGTGGCGAGAGGGAGGCTCCGCCGGGAGGCCGAGATGGGGCAGGGAAGCTGGGGAGGGTCTCAGGGGACCACCCTGGGACGGGTGTGGGTGGCTCCTGGCCCCAGGGGCTGCGGTCGGGGAGGCAGTGCCCTCTGGGGAGGAGGGTCTTGGGCTCTGCTGGGTCCCTGCGATGATCTGAGCCTCGGATGCTTGTCCTGCAGGACGTGGGAGGAATGTCGTGTCCCAAAATGTCGTGTCCCAAAATGTCGTGTCCCAAAATGTCGCATCCCACATCCCTCAGGCTGTGGCTTCATCACAGGAGACATCTCCGTGCCCCCTCCCCAAACCCTGCTCCTCCAGCCTGCTGCCCCCTCTCCCTGCGTCCTGGGGGGCTGCGTAGCTCCAGGTGGGATTTTTATCCCCTTCTCTTTTTTCCTGCGAGGCGGGGGCTTTGCAGAGAGCCTGGCCGCATGCCGACGGCCGTCCCCTGCCTCTGTGGGTGCAGCACCCACGCTCTGCACGGCGCGGGCGGCTCCCGTGGGGTGATGGCCCGTGAAGGGCAGGGTGGCTGGAGGCAGGGGGAGGGAGGGAGGGGAGGCACTCGGCGTGCAGCAGGTGCCGAGGCGACGCTCGCTGCGCGACAAATCCCCGTGATTCAGCCCCAAAGCATCTGCCATCGCCGGGGACTCGACGCTAACGAGCGGCCGAGGGGGCTGCTGTCACGCAGCCGCCTCCTCCGAGGCGCCTCGGAGCCCCCAGGAACGGGGAGCTCCCCACATGGATTCCCTCTGGCACGCTCGGGAAGGACGGCGCTCCCCTGCGAGACCTCCCCGAGTCCCTGCCGGCCTAAATCTTTCTCCTTCCCCGTTGCTGATGACAACGCAGGGCTGCGAAGGTGGGCGTAAAACTCCCAGCTCCGTTGGCCTCCGGGTCTCCTTGCTCGCTGGGAGCACGCAGCCCTCGAACCTCGAGCCCTCCGGGTGCTCCCACGTGTGCCAGCGGGGATCTGGCAGCACCCTGCAGCCCCTCGTTAGGGGTCTGTGCGAGGTGTGGGTCTGCAGGGCTACAGGTGCAGGGCTGGTTTTTTTTTCAGCCACGCCGTTTAGGTACAGCACCCTTGGGTAGAAGCAACCAGAGCTCACTTACCTCCTATTGACATCGCTTTAAGAGCTGCCAGCCCTGATCATCTGTGAAAGCCTCCCAGCCCCGTGTCCTGGCTGCAGCTAATGTGCTACACAGGAAGAACAAACCACCCTGGCACCAATTCCCCGGCTTTCCACCCAGAACTGGCTGGAGCGCAGGGCGCAAACACTTCCCCAAATACCTCAGCAGTGCCGGTTACAATTTCACCCCCTCCATGTAAAACATTCAGTCCATTTGACCTCACAGCTCTGGAAAAGATCTTCCCCTTTTGTTATCTGAATTTGGCCATTTTGGGTGTCTCGCCTGTCTCCTGGCTTTTTGGATCAGACCAGGAGCTCCCACCTTTCCCGTGTGGTGTCTCCAGTGGTGGATGCTCTCTCTGTGGGTAGTGGGGTTGGAGAATGGAGTAGGACGGAGCCTTTTAACTGCCTGAATGGGCTTGGTCATGTATTTCCCTTCATCTGATCACGTTTCCTAGCCATGTCTGCTGTTGCCCCAGCCGTAGATAATAACCCCCTGGAGGCTACAGAAGGCACCGAAATCTCCAGGGAAGGTGTGGAAGATGGAAGCAGAAGAGTCCTTTAGCAGCTCAGCGCTGTCCTCATCTCCCGTAATTGCTCTCTTTAACCCCTGCCAGTCTCACGGCCCCGTGCTCTCCTCCTGGCTTTTCGACGTGCTCAGCCCCGTTGTTTGTTTTTATACTTTTACTTATTTGCTCTTCAGAGCCCCTTTATGCTCCGGCAATTAACCTCACGCTGGTTTTTCGCGTTTGCCTCCGCTTAGTGTCACCCGCCGCTGCTTGGTCCCGGCTTCCCCGCGCAAAGCTGAATTGAGCAGCGCCGGGGCTGCTGTTACTCAGCGTCTCAGCGATGGCTTTGTGAATTCTCTCCCGCGTGCCACTTAAAACGAAGTCAAGAATGGCCTTCCCACTTCTTCCTGCTCCTCTCCTTGCTCCAGGCACGGAGCAGCGTGCTGAGCGCGGAGGTACTTTGTCTCTAAGCCGTGTCCTGCTGCGCCGTGTGTTTGTATGTGGGTGGCTCGAGTCCCTTCTTATCATCCGCTGTTATCGCGCCCTTGCTGGAGCCCGGTGCCATTTTGATCTTCTTCATCAAAGACGCGAGCCTGCCACTTCTCCGCAGCCGCCTGGGCAGGGAGATAGAGCCTTGCAGGGACGTGATTGCATCTGGGCGTTTGGCTGCTTCTCTTTGCAGCTTTCCCTGGCCGCTCTGCAGAGCTTGCAGCCAGGTGTTTTGGTGTTTCTCTGACTTGTGTAACTCCTCTTACATCAGGATCAAGGGCCGGGCAGTTCGCCTGTGTTTGCATGCTGCCCAGATGTTTGTGATGCCCGTTCCAGACCGCTGCAGGCTTTCATCGAACTCAACCTGCAACCAAACTGACTTGACAGAGATCCTCGGTACAGAAATATCTTGTCCTTGATTTGCTTCTGTTAAGGCTTTGGTACTTACTCCTGAGTCACATTGCTGTGAGTCAGATCGCAGCTCTGCTGTGTGTCAGGATCCAGAACCTGATGGCCTTGCCTGGGGATTCCGCCCAGCACTCGGGTTTTGTATATTTAGAGGCTCCTTTGGGCTGATTTTCTTCAAGGCAGGGTTTGTTCTCAGCTGGCTGGAGCCAACCCAGAGCAGCAGAGCGGGCAGGAGTGGGGAGTGCCTACCAAAACCCGAATGCAGCAGGGTTGTGTGGTGGGTCCAGCCTGATGCAACCAGCTCCTGATTGCACCGTGCTGCAGCAAGCCCTCAGCATCCCCATATCGCAGGTAACTGCTGGATCTTCCCCGTTCCCAGCACCGTCCTTTGGTTCTGTAGCTTCTAGACCACACGCTTCCTTCAAAGCACAAAGCCTAAAAACGGCCTTC